AACCTGTCCTTCCTCTCTGATGTCACTTCCTGGGGACTCAGCCAAACTTCCTGGCAGTTCCAGCTTTCCTTCCTGTAAGTACTTTCAACAACTCCCCTCTTCTAACCCATCCCCATTTCTTTGTGTCAGCCGCCAATACCTAAAAATATAGTCTACACTGAACCCCCGGAGTCCAAAAGTGGCAGAGACTCAGAATTCTCTACTAGGCAACCCAGTCACCACACACTCCTAGGATCTAGAGAGAGCAACAGAAACTAATGAACAGAACACCCAACCAACAAAGATAATACCAGCTATCTGTACCTAAAGCCACAATCATCCCAAACCCAAATGCCTAGACACCAATGCAAAAACACTGTTGTATTTTTTTGCGGGGGGGGGGGGGGGGGTTTTTTAACAAAGGGTTTTGCTTTTCTGCACTCGCTCTGGAGACCAGGTTGGCCTCAAACTCACAGAGATCCTGCTGCCTCTGCCTCCCGAGTGCTGGGATTAAAGGTGTGCGCCACCAATGCCTGGCCCCCTATAATATTATTTTTAAGGTGTGTTACTTTTGTTTATGCTCTGGAACATTGGTTTAATGGTGCAAAGATGTGTTTGATTAAATAAAATTCACCTGTGGTCAGGAGGCTGGGTCAGCAACTAGCTGACAGGGAGTTACAGGGACGAGCCAGGTGGAGAAGAGTTTATAAGGAGGGGCGAGGGAAAAGAAGCAGGACTTCTTGGGAGACTGGAGGAGGTGAGCTGGGTGAGCTGCTTGCTATTCAGCCTCTGGGAAGCAGGATTCTACCTCAAGCTTTGAATCTTGAGTTCTTTAGTAGGACAGTGATTTAAATAAGTTTCCTTAGTAGCTTTGAAAGAGTCAGTGCCTGAGGGAGCAGAATTCCTCAGGCTTCAGCTCTTTGCCACCTAGCCGCTGCTGGTAGCAGCAGATTGACAGCTGCTGAATAGGATAGCGGTAGCTTAAAAGGCAGCGACAATTAAAAAAGAAAAGCAACAAACACAATACCAACCAAGACAATATGTGTCTAGCAGAAGCAAGCACCACTACTATGGCAGGCCCTAAGAAATGGAATAAAGCTAAAGCATAAGACAAGAATTGCAAAATTGCTATTATAAATGTGTTCAGAAACCAACCCCAGGGCGGGGTGGGGTTACTGATGGACAACACAGCCTGGACAGAAGGATTTTCCCTTCTGTCCAACACTGACTAAGAAGACTAGAAAAAAAAATTGTTAGGACCTTTTTAGAAGGATTAAAGACAGCTGCTAAAAAGGATTAATTTTGCAACCAATTGGCCCAAGATATTAGAAAAAAGGGTTATAAAAATTAGAAAAATGTGGCTGGAGAAATGGCTTAGAGGTTAAGAGCACTGGCTGCTCTTCCAGAGGTCCTAAGTTCAATTCCCAGGTGGGTGGCTCACAACCTTCTATAATGAGATCTGGTGCCCTCTTCTGGCCTGCAGGCATTAATGCAGGCAGAACACTACATAATAAATAAACCTTTTTAAAAATTAGAAAAATGTAAAGGTATAAGTAGTCCCAGTTGCTGGAGGTAGCTCAAAAGGTGTTTAACAACTGAGAAATGATTGGGACAAGAACTTTTGCATAAGCTGAAAGCCACTGTCACCTTCCTCTAATGATAAGAAGCAGTTAGACTTACAGACACCCAGCAAAATTTTGGTGTCTTACCCTCTGTCAAAAGAATATCTCCTAGCTGAAAGCCAAGGTTCCAATTAAAAGATGCAGTTGGACTTTTTCTCATATTGACAACCAAGATTCCAGAGGTACAGGCAGAAACTAATACCCCAGGACTGGCACAACACCAAGTTCCTATAATTTTTCAACTAACCAGTTCAGCTACCCTCATCCAGATTAAACAATATTCAACAACCTTGGAAACAAAAAGGAAAAATTGCAGTCCATATTGCCTGGACTTAGAGAGATGGGCATCCTGGTGCCCTGCCAGTCACCCGGGGAATATGCCTCTCTGCCTATGAAGAAACCTGGGACCTCTGATTCTCATGAGTCTGATTCTTCCAAAGAAACAGGTGTACGCTGTCTTGGACCTCAAAGATGCATTCTTCAGCCTCCCATTGGCAAGGGGTGAGTCAACCCATCTTTGCTTTTGAATGCAAAGACCGAGAGAGGGGGGTCAAGGCAGACAACAAACCTAGACCAGATTTCCCCAAGGATTTAAAGACATAAATTCTGACATCCAAACCTTCCATCAGAGGTTTCCTGCGACCATATTCCAACAATATGCAAATAACCTCCTCCTAGCTTCAAAAACTAAAATAAACTATAAAAGAGCCACTGAGGGACTGTTATAAGAATTACAGACCTTGGGCTACAGAATGTTGGCTAAGAAAGCTCAGTTTTGTACATCAGAGGCTACCTATCTTGGAGACCAGCTGAGAAGAGATAAAAGAAGCCTGTCTCAGAGTGGGATTGCTGCTGTCCTTCAGATCCCAACTCCAAAGACCAAGAGAGAGGTTTGAGGGTTCCTAGTTGCAGCTAGGTATTGCTGCCTCTGGATTCTAGAGTTTGTGGAAACAGTAAGGCCTCTCACACCAGCACAAAGTGATATAATCCAGACTGAGACTAAACAAATGGCGTTTGAGACTGTAAAAACAGCTCTAACTTCGGCTCCAACCTCAGCACATCCAGATGTCTCAAAACCTTTTCATCTGTTTGTCCATGAAACAAAAGACATTATAAAAGGGGTTTTAACCCAAACCTTGGGGCCACAGAAATGCCCTGTAACATACTTGTCCAAATGATTAGACCCCGTAGCCACAGGATGGCCCACCTGTCTAAGAGCTGCAGTGGTTACTAATTTGTCTAATTTGTCTTTTTTGTTTGTTTTTTTTTTCAAGGCAGGGTCCAGCTCTGGCTGTACTGGAATTCACTATGTAGACCAGACTGACCTCAAACTCACAGAGATCATCCTGCCTCTGCTTTCTGAGTGCTGGGATCAAAGGTGTGCACCACTATGTCTGGCTTACTGCTAGTCTAATAAAAAACAACAACAAAAATTAACTCTGGGTCAGGGATCAGGATCGTGTACCTCAAACATCACTTTACACTGCTGCGGCCCTCCTCCAAGGAACACAGAACAGTGGCAGTCTAATGCCCATGTGACCCAGTATCAGGCCCCAATCCTAGACTGTACCTTCTCTAGCAAAGCTACACCTCCAAAAATGCCACTCCCTATGAGTCTGGGAGGGAGGGCATTTTCATTCAGACCTCACAGAGATCTGCCTGCCTTTGCTTCCTGAATGCTAGGATTAAAAGTGTGTGCCACCACTGCCCAGCTTCTTAAAACTTTTTTAAAGAACAAAGCTAGACAGGAACTGCTAATCAGACTAGATAGGCAATGGACATAACTTTCCATCTTAGCAGAGCAGTGACTTTAAGAAGTAAACTAACTGCAGAAGGAAGTCTGGTATGTCTGTAAGCCCAAAAAAGCATAATGATTAGCCAAAGAGTAAGAAAGAACCAAATGCCCATCCATGAACAAAAACCATGTATCTCTTCACCATGATGCAGCCATGTGAAGTACTGCCAACAGCTACAACGTCAGCTTTGAAAACACACTAGGATAAAGAAGACAATAAAGGGCCACTCCCATATAATTTCACTTAAACAAAACACCCAAAACAGATGTTATATTTAATCTTCATCGTCAACCTAGGAGACATACCTCTGATGTGTCTGTGATAATTCCAGAGATGTTTAAAAGGGAAGACCCACCCTGTATGTGAGTGGCACCATACCACAGGCTAGTGGATACAAAGGAAAAGTGAGAAAGTGAGCTGAACATCAATACCACCTCTCTCTGCTTCCTTAGTACACGATATGACCATGTATATGTAACTCAGGCTCCCACTATGTCTTCCTCACCACGATGGACAGTGTCTTCTCAAACTGTAACATAAAATAAGGGTTGGAAAAATGGTTCAGTGGGTAACATACCTGCTGAACAAACATGAAAGACCAGAGTTTGGATTCCCAGCACCTAAATACCTGTTACTCTAGTGCTGGGTGAGGAAAAGAGGCAAGCAGATCCCAAGGATATGCCAGTCAGACAGGCTGGTCTAACCCGAACATCTGTGTCAGTGCAGTAAGAGATCCTGTGTGAAAAGAAAGGCGGAGAGTGACACTCAACAGCTGCTTAGCAGCCTCTGCAAGCATACAGACACAAGAAAACAAACCCTTCCTTGAGCTGCTTTCATCAGGCGTTTTCAAATTTTATCACGGAAATGAGAAAACTAACAAATAGGTGAATCCATAGAAACAAAAGCCTATTTATGGTTGACATGGAAAATAGAGAAAGGTATGAACGATTAAGAACTACATGAAAATGGTTTTATTCCAACAATGAATGGACAAAATGCCACTGAATTGCTTAAAACAGTTAATTTTATTTTATATGAATTTTATCTCAATACAAATAAATAACTTATAAAGAAAAAATACATAGATATATGTAACCATCAAGAACCAAGAACAAAATAAAAGGAACCGGGATATAGCTGAGAAATCGAGCACTTCCCTATCATATCCATATTACACTCTCCAAATCTCATATGCTGCAGCTTTCTATAGTTGTACCTGCCATCTGGTAAGGACCTACAGAGCTGGACTCTAAATGTCTAACATGAAGACTAGAACTCCACCACTGCCTTGTGTTTGCCTTTCCCAGCAATCTCAAATCAAAGGTCTATAGGTTTAAGGGCCAAATCTATGAACCAAACTTTAGGCATATACTCTGGTCAGTACCAACTATTTTCCCAGGGACAGTGCATCATGTTTGTTTTGTTTTTTTAAATCTAACACACTGGCTATAGAAACGATAGCCTTCTGAACAACTCTGTCATGTAAGGGATTGAAAGAATTCAGCCCCAAAACTTTATATATAGAAATAACAACAACAAAGAGAATTTGATTATTTAATGCAAAAAGAATCAATTTTGAAGAACTGGTCAGCTGGCACAGACTTCAATAATGTCGACGGTAACTGGCATGGTAGGACTCCCGCTCCCGGGACTGCCTGTGCTTTTTATGCCTATAGGACTTATCCAGACTCCGACTCCTACGACTCCGACTCCTACGACTCCGACTTCTACGACTCCTACGACTCCTACTCCGACTTCTACGACTCCTACTCCGACTTCTATGGCTCCTACTTCGCCATGCCTGCTGGTATGAGTACCTGAGCTCCTCCCTCTATCCTTACCTCTGCTCTTTTCTTCTCCCTCCCTCCTGCTCGAGGACTTATGCTCATGCTTGGGTTTCTCTTTCTTTGGCTCCCACTTGGGGGCCTCTGCTCTACCATGGAAGGAACTCCTGATATCAGGAAAGCCTGTGTGGTTCTTCCTCCCCTCTCTGGATTCCGACTTCTGGGCTTTCTCTGAGGTCTTGCTGCTGTGCTTCTTTGGGCCCTCTTCATCCTTCTCCTTTACTGCCCTGCTTCCAGAGGGCAAAGAACAGGATGGCGGCTCTGCTTGTACCTTGTGCTCCATCTTCTCTTTTTCTTTCTTTTTTTTCTTTTTCTCTTTTTTGTCTGGGAGGTAATCAATAGGGAAAAGAAAACACAAAGAAATCTCTTTAAAATGTGCCTTTCTTCTCTCAGTAAATCACATAAAACTGAGACGTTTCAAAATGTTCCCATGCAAGCAGATGGAGAATGTGTTTGTGAAAAACATCCCAGGTAGCAACAAGAAGCAGTCACAGTTTATGCCACCCAGAAAATGACTTCAAGAATCGAATTGCACACCTGTCACTCCTTATAGGTCAAGCTGTACAAAACATCCCCACACAGAAGTACTGTATCTCCAAATACAATCTCATTTTGAGATACAGAAGGGTTGGGATGACAACATATAAATTTAGGGAGATACAATTCTGCCTACACCACTAGCCTTCCTTCCTCAGTCACTTCTGCTTTCCCAAATAACGATTCTCACACCTTCCATTTTCTACTTGAGAGTGAATTCTTGACTATCTATCTACGCATGCTTGGAAAAGAAGACACTAAGAAACCCAGAATTTTCTAATTAGTTTTAAGACTCCACCTTTTTTGTGCTTTATGGTGGGCTTGACATCTTCATCTTCAGACACCTCAGTAGAACTTGATGGAGGTGTTTTAGCACCACAGCCCTTCTCCTGGAGCTCTCTGGTCACTTCATCCATGTCTTCTGATTCCTGAGGAGCCCTGAAGCTTGACACATGGTCCACACGGATATCCTTTGATCTAAGCAAGACCATAAATGTGTCAGCAAAGACAGCCCCCACATCCAACTATCTGAACCAAACTACAGAGAACCAAGGTTTGAATCACATCCATTACCTTGTATAAGGAAACCATTAAAGAAAACATGCTCAAATAAGAGATACCATAAGAGAGGGAGCCATTATAGGTTTAAAGAGAAGTCAGGAACTGGGAAATGTCCAGAGATTTACAAGGATGACACCAACTAACAATCTAAGCAACAGTGGAAAGGCTACCTTAAATGCCCTCCCCTGATAATGAGACTGACGACTAACTTATATGCCATCCTAGAGCCTTCACCTAGCAACTGATGGAAGTAGAAGCAGATACCCACAGCTAAACACTGAACTGAACTGGAAACCAGTTGCAGAGGAGGAGGGATGAGCAAAGGGATCAAGTCCAGGCTGGTGAAACCCACAGAAACAGCTGACCTGAACAACGGGGAGCTCTTGGTTCCCAGACTGATAGGTGGGAAACCAGCATGGAACTGATCCAGACCCCATGAACGTGGGTTTCAGTGAGGAGGCCTCAGAAATATATGGGGCCTCTTGTAGTAGATCAGTACTTATCCCTAGCATAGAAATGAACTTTGGGAGCCCATTCCACATAGAGGGATACTCCTTGAGCCTAGACACATGGGAGAGGGCCTAGGCCCTATCCTAAAGGATATGCAGACTCTAAAGACCGCCCTATGGAAGGCCTCACCCTCCCTGGGGAGGAGAAAGGGTATGGGATAAGTAGGGTGTTAGTGGGGGGCAGGGGAGGAGGGGAGGCAGAGGGAACTGGTATTGACAAGCAAAACAATCTTGCTCCTAATTTAATTTTAAAAATGGAAAAAAAAAGAAAAGAAAACATGCTCAACTGGTATGTTATAGAATATATAGCTAATACTAATAATACACAGCACTCAGGGCAGCTAAATGGGGTCTAGGGCAGGTAAAACCTCTGGGGCAATTATGCCCAGAGCCCCCTTGACATACTACAGGTACTATGCAAATTTCTTCATGTTCTGCATGTGTCATGAAGTTAAAAAAAAAAAACACTCAGAAGTATTGCCCTAAAGCACATCAAGAAAGTATATAAGATTTTAGGATTTAAAGGACAATTGATTATCTATAGGGATAGAGAACTGGTACAATTGGTAAAGCACCAGCCTTGTAAGAATAAGGACCTTAGGTTAATCCCAAGAACCCACATAATCTGGGTGACAGCACACACTTGTAATTCCAGCACTGGGAAGCAGAGATAGAAGACAGCTGGAGCTCACAGACCAAGCAACCTAGCCTACTCACAAGTTCCAGACAAGTGAGAGATTTTGTCTGAAAAAAAAAAGAAATAAAGGAAAAAATAGACAGATCTTGAGGAATGATGCCAAAGCTGTCCTCTGGCCTCCAACTATACATGAACACATATGAATATGTGTACATACATGCAAAGTTATACACAATGTTTAACAAGAAAACATGTCCTAGAAAAGCATGAGGGCCAGAAACATGAAATCTAAAGCTGCTGTTTCAACAAAGGCAAAATAAGACCAAGGAAACAAAATGCTTTTGCTATGGTGGTATTGAATCAAGGGTCTCATAGAGAAGCATCTCTCACTGAGGATATTCCAAGTTTTACTTCCTTTTTTCTTGAGCTCTCATACCTTTCTCTACTCCTGTCAAACAGGACCTTTCTGTTCCAACTGAGTATTGGACTATAAGCTAGAGTTTCAAAGGTGAACAACAAAATGAAGCCTGTGTTTTATAAACAGTCTATTTTCAAATAGATACACTTCTCTCCAGGTAATAACATCTGAACCCTGAATTTCAATTTTACTGTTCCATTTCTAGAGTACATTTTTATGTGTACCTTTAAGCCTGAGAAGCTTTTGTCTATTTATCATTTTGATAAAAAAAATTTAAAAAGCAATTTTCCTTTGATGGTGACTTCTTCTGAAGACTACTCCTTTAAAATTTCAGAATGGCTTATTTTTATAGAATTAGTCACCAGATTTTAACTAAAGAATGTCCAGGAGCCAATATGTGAAGTCACTGGAATCATATGCTAGATATACATGGCTCTGTCTTAGCTCACAAAGCCATGATGAAGCCCCTGGTTCCCTAGCACAGCACAATATCCAAGAGCAGTGTTTCTAGTTTCTAATCCACTAGAACAGATGGAAAATGTGTATAAGAAAAACATCCCCCAGATAAGGGGGCACAGTACCCATGTTTCTGGAATGACAATTTGCTAACACATACGGAAAAGGAATAAGTCCTGGCAGATGCATAAGCCAGAAAATCGTTTCCTGGAATCATTGCCTATCCAGTGTGTCTAGGCACCTCTACAACCCCCACAATACATCCAGCTGACCAGTACTATTCCTACACCTGTAAACAGGAGACAAAAAAAAAAAAGAATGCCGCCTAACCCATACACAGGAAAAATCCAGTCAAATCCTGCATAGTAAGCAGTTACCTTAATTCCATTGAAATTGTCAACAGCCAGAACTGTGCTCCTCTGATCTTCGTAGCACAGGAAACAGAATCCCTTGGACTTGCCCGTCTTCTTGTCTCTCACAAGATTAATGTTGACAATCTCCCCATATCTGTTTAGTTTATAAAATGTATTATTCATTTAAAATGCAAACATTTTCATACTGAATGATCAATTCAAATAATCAGTATAGGAGAAATAGAACAAGATGATACAGCAGGTTGAAAACAGCCTAGTTTATATTTCGATTTTCAGGTCAGCCAGGGCTACAAAAAAGAAACAGAAACTTATTGGAGATTTTTAAGTTTAAAACAAAGCTTAAAGGAATAAGACCAGATGAATTAATATCAAATAACATAAAAGAAACAGAAATAAAAATAATTGCCAATAATCCACTAATGTCAGACTAGGAAACATATAGGTATTTTTGAAGTATATAACAAGATAAATTATTTTCAAGAATTCATAAAACAAATTAGATTCACTATTGGTAAGATCTCAAAATAAATATCAATAAGCACTAAAGTTTCTGGGGAAAAAAGACAGCTCAGAAGTTAAGAGCACCTCTGCTCTTGCAGAAAAAACAAATTTAGTTTCCAGCATTCAAGCCAGGTGTCTCACAACCTTTGTGTCTCTGGGGAAATCTGATGCCTCTGGATTGATTCTACAAGCATGAGTATGTACATGCACATACACACACACACACACACTCACACACAGACACAGAACTAAAAACAAATCTTTTTGAGGATCAATTAAAAATAAACTCTAAAAATCTACAGTATATACTCACCAATCAGTGTGATAAAACTAGAAATAATATTTTAAACAAATATTTAAATAATATTTTAAACAAAGCTTGCTACTGAAGCTAGAGAGATGACTCAATGTTTAAGGGCACTGTTTTGCTCTTCTAAAGGACCCAGGTTCACTTCCTAGCACCTACTTGGAGGCTCACAACCATCAGTAACTCCAATTCCAAAGCATCTGGCGTCCTCTTCTGTGCCTGGGCACTCATGTGGTACTGACAAACATACAAGCAAAATACCCATACAATAACATTTTTTTAAATATTTTTATAAAAACCTGCAGCTAACCAGAACTTGAAACCTATTCTCTTAGCTAATAGATGGATGAAAGAAAAATGAAACAAAATTTAAAAGGTCAATGGTATATCACTTAGCAACTAACAACAAATTTTAAAATGCCATGAAAATTTATAGGATGCAGCTAAGCCTCACTACTCAGGAAAATCTGTAACCTTGAAGAATTTGATTCTTTTAAAAGCATAAATATGAAATAAAACAAACCTAATAAACACAGACTTTAATAAAGATCAAATTGAATTTGAATTGAATACAAAAATTGAATACAAAAATAGTCTGCCTTACTTCTTTTAAAACCAATTCCAAATAAAGCTTTATAAGAGTCAGAAAATAAAACTATAATTGATACATAAGTTATATGAGTACATATAAATTATATGGTTACACATATACACACCAACCCCAAATCTAGTATCAAAATGCAAAAAGGTTAATGTGCTTCAAATAAGGTTGAGAACAATTTGACAATATATTGGAGGCATAGATAATGCAGTTAGATAAAACTAATATAAGAAATGAAAAAGTAAAAGTATCTGCAGATTATATACAAGAGTGTATATAGAAAATTGAACAGCATCAATGATAGACAATGACAAAAATAAACAGCATAACAATTCAGTAAAGTAACAAGACAGAAAGGTACAGGACAGCCAGGGCTGGACAGAAAAACCCTATATCAAAAAGGGAAAAAAAGGATTTGGGTAAATAGGCATTTCAGTGAGAGTGGATATTAGTAAAACCATTTCAGGGAACAATCCAGCAATGCTGATAAAAACCAGGCTAAATCTGTGTCTGTTTGGCCCAAGTTTTCAGTGCTCTGACCTAATCCTACAATGCCACACAGATAGGGCCCAGAGGGCCCTGTCATCATGGATGACCTCTAATTTATAGGAACCCAAATAGAGAGGTCAACACTGCACTTTCCTGGGAATTCCAGTTTGTTCTAATGCAAGTCCATGCTGAACAAGGTTCAGGAAAAACTTGACAGAAATGAACTAGGCTCCTTCAGAAAGCCTCTCAAATGATCTAAGCTCTGGGATCTCCCACATGCTAATGTTCTGAAACCTTATCTAGCCTGGGACTGATCAAAGCTCTAGCCTTCACCACACAGGGATGTCATTCAGACTGGAATTAAACTGGCTTTGGTGGCTTTTTGAGACAGGGTCTCACTCTGTAGTGCAGACTGACCTGGAATTCGTTATGTAGCCTAGGCTGGCCTCAAACTCATGGTGATTCTCCTACCTCACAGTCTCTTCTACTGGCATTAGAGGTATACAACTCCATAGCCAGCTTAAAATACTGTTTTTGCCTTACAAAAATAAACTACAGAAGCAAACATCTCTATGCACCCAGAAGGTAGGAAATGAAAGAGGACTTACTGTGAGAACACACAGATGATGTCTCCTTCTGTCAGTTCATAAGGAAGCCCTCCTAGAAGAAAACAAAGCACAGTTCAGGTCAGCAAACATTAATCAAGTGTTTACTGCATATTATGCACTGGGCCAGATACTGGAGGTGCAGAGTGAGTAAGCCCTGAACTCACAAAAATCAGTCTAATGCAATGACAGAGGATGAAAAGTGACAACAGTCCAGCAGAAAAGCAATTAACTCTTGGATCTCTGTGAGTTTTAGGCAAGCCTGGTCTACAGAGTGTGTTCCAGGACAGCCAGAACTACAAAATGAGATTGTCTCCAAAAACAGGAATAAAAGTGATTAAGTCTAAGTGGAAAGGGGTTACCACTTACCAAATTAATTTTTTTTTTGGTTTTTTGAGAGAGGGTTTCTCTGTGTAGTTTTGGAGCCCATCCTGCCACTCGCTCTGGAGACCAGGCTGGCCTCAAACTCACAGAGATTCACCTGCCTCTGCCTCCCGAGTGCTGGGATTAAAGGCATGTGCCACCAACGCCTGTCTTCCAAATTAATCTCATTCAGTCCTCACATCCAAACTCCTATAAAACAGAAAATTTCCTGCACAAGACTCAGATTTCACAAACATTGAGTTCAAATATGCTATTGTTATGCTCACCTATGTGTAAACTAAGAATTTTAAAGAAAACTGTTAGGCAAGTCACAGGAAATTATTTGCCTTCCATGTTTTTTACCTCCTGTGTAAAAAGGGGCTATCAGTATATTTGCCTCACAAGAATGTTATAAACACAAAATAAAACGGTGCATATAAAATGCTTAACACAATATCTAGTGAAATAGCCTCTTTCAAAAGTCAAACTGCAGGATTATTGGTTGTGACATAAAGTGAACAAAGGATAGTAATATTGTTCCCAGAGATATTAAGAGTTCCCCTTTGTAGGCTCTTAGTCTTGTCAGTAATTTTAAAACAGACTGAGGAAGCCTGAGATCCATTTTATTAGCATTTGAGAGAGAGCTGATGGGGAGGTGAGTTGTAAAATTTACCAGCTACTGGGAGGAGGGAGATGGACAAGACGAAGAAATACGTAGTTAATCAGAAGGCCATGCAGGCAGGCATGCTCAAAAATGGCGGCTAAGAAACAGCTGCAAGGGAACGGGAGAGCCTGTAGACTTGAAATAAGAAAAAGTCCAGAGTGTTAGGGCAAGCATGCTCAGGATTTCAGACAATATTCAAAGAAGGGCTAGAAAGGGAGGGGATGGATAAGTTAGATGTCAGAACAGCAGACAGATGTAACAGCAATAGGTAATAAGTGCAGTGAGGAACTCCTGCGGGACATTGCTTCACTAAGGGGATCATTTTCCTTCCATGTCCTCAGCATGTCTTCAGGTGAATGAGCTTTCCTGACAGGTGACTCCTGGCCAACTTTATTAAGTCTTAAGGAAGGGACACACTAGTATGTGGCAGTTAGGTTTGCTTAAAATGTCCCATCATATCCACCCAGGACCAAGAGTGGAATGTGGACTGTATTTTCACCAGGTGTATAGCTTTCCCTTAATGAACACGCCTAGATACCGCGACCTTTTCAGATGACATTCTAAATTTTAAGCAGGAGTAAAGCTGATTTTGAGTGAGGAGTCCACACGAAATATTTTCCAGATGGCTACTGTCTGTCCAGGAACCCAACAATCAGCAAAGTACTAGAAGCAAAAGTCAATCACAGGAGAAAATAGTTTTGCGGAGGGGCAGACAGTAAAAATGAAAATAATGACCACTAATCTCATAGTGCTGCAGTATGTAGTATGTAACCTTAAAGAACTCTAGTCACCTGTCCGCACCGCACTTTCTTTGGCCTCGTAATGTGTTGGCTGTGGAGTTAACTGTCTCTGGGCAGCTAAGTGGAAAGCCTTTAAGTGCAATGAATGGTAAATACCAATTCTAAGAAGCACTGGCTAAGCCGGGCGCTGGTGGCGCGAGACCTTTAATCCCCTTTAATCCCAGCACTCGGGAGGCAGAGGCAGGCGGGTCTCTGTGAGTTCGAGACCAACCTGGTCTCCAGAGCAAGTTCCAGGATAGCCCCCAAAGTCAGGGAGAAACCCTGTGTCGAAAAACCAAAAAAAAAAAAAAAAAAAAAAAAAAGAAAAAAAAAAGCACTGGTTATCAGAAAAGATAACTGGAAAAGGACGAGTAAAAGAGAATAAAAAACGGACTGTGGGCAGACAAGCTGTGTGGGTGACAAGCGTGGTCAGCAGGGGCTCTAAGTAACCGG